AAAAAAAAAAAAAAAAAAAAACGGCGCTCCCACTTTTAAATGCTAAATTTTTAAATGTTTTTTTTCAGTTTTTTTTCAGTCTTGGTATAATTCCTGCTCTAAGTGGGTCCCACTGTCAGCTAAAGGCATGTTTCAGTCTCTAAACTCTAGTTAACTATTAATAAATTACTAAATTATTCTAGAATTACTTCAATAATCGATCAATCTGTTCAATTGTTTCAGCCCTAGATAAAATGCTTTGAAGATTTGCTGCTACTTTAAACAAATATCATGGAGGCTTTTACCAAGATATACCTTTTTTTATTAAATTTTTTAGTTTTTTATCACCTTTAAATGTTAATAAACATAGATACATGTTTGATCAATCAGTGTATTTCTAATTTAATAGAAAGGGAACGAGAATTTCACGATTTATGCATTGCTACTTAAAACATTTCCATATTTTTTTCAATGTTATTTAAGTTTATCCAAATAAGTCGCTTTCTGTTCCTCTGCTGAAAATTCTGTAATTTTAATTTTCTGTCCTTTTTTGTTTTTTCTTCAGGATAATCCTTCGTGTGAGGAAGCTTCTGCTGCTAATTCCAACAGACCCTGAAGTGCAGGACGCACTCGACAACTTTGTTCCCAAAGAATCCAGTGTCTGGAGCCACCAGGTGCCTGACAGCATCCCCATCATCCTGGACTAGTGTTTTTTTTTTATAGATCTCTACTATTCTAGTCTAATCGATTGTCTGAAGCTCTTCTCTCAGTGCTGGATGCTGATTATGTGGAGTCTTTGTTCTTGTTTTGTTTATCTGACACTATGATCTTCCTATTGCGTCTGTTTCTGTTGTAGAAAACTCTTTTCACCCTTGGGCAGGGCTCCGGCTCCCGTTCTCCATCTGTAACTCCCAAACAGCAGCACCAGCCCAGCGCTGCTTCCATCTTGGAGTCCCTTTTCCGATCCTCTGCCCCGGGCATGTCTACTTTCAGAGTGCTTTACAATCTGGAGGTATGTGCCGTCCCCCTTCCTTATGCAAGCATGTGAACTGGTGTGCTAACCCTGGATCTTGGTTGGTCTCCATCTGTGTGATAGGTGCTGAGTTCCAAGCTGATGCCAACATCTGATGATGAGATGGCCAAAACCAGCAGCAAGTCCTTCTGTGAAAACTTCCTCAAAGCCGGAGGCCTTAGGTAAAAAATTAGATAAAAACAAGTTTTAGTCTTTTTGATGATCAGGCTGAACACTGCAGGCTCTTTATGCCATGTGACATCTGCTGCTTTTCTTTGTTTTCTCTGCAGTCTGGTGGTGAATGTCATGCAGAGAGATTCCATCCCATCTGAAGTGGACTATGAGACCAGACAGGGAGTCTACTCCATCTGTCTTCAGTTGGCCAGGTGAAGGAAAATAGTTTTTACTGAAGACTTGTTTATGCCTGACGTGATCACAGACATGTTTCAGATCAGGGCCGTTTCTCAATTCACAAGAACGTGAGTACTGGCTGCTGCAGACGGGCTACCGTTGGCCCTGGCTGCTGCAGACGGGCTACCGTCGTCACGGTGCGGTAAGCCTAGCGCCATTCTCCCCGCTTTCCAAGCTAAATCAATGGGAACTACTAGACACATCTGCAATCAACAACAATTATTGAAGATTTCCAGAGGACTTCACCATTGAAATTCACCAGAGC